TGCACTGGAGAGCAAGTTTCAATGTCTCTTCTGACATCCATTTTGACCTTTTCCTTCTTTCTTGTCTTCTCAATGACATTTTGCTTTCTTCATGTATGATGTTCTTGATGTCATTCCACAATTCTCCTGGTCTTCGGTCTTTAGTGTTTAATGTATCAGATCTGTTCTTCAGATGATCTCGAAATTCAGGTAGGATATATTCAGGATCATATTTTGGCTCCCGTGGACTTGTTTTTGTTTTCTTCAGCTTCAGTTTGAATTTAAAAATGAGCAATTGATGGTCTGTTCCACAGTCTGCCCCTGGCCATGTTTTGACTGATGATGTGGAGCTTTTCCACCGTCTCTTTCCACAGATGTAGTCAATTTGATTTCTATGTATTCTATTTGGTGAGTTCCATGTGTATAGTCATCTCTTATGCTGTCTAAAGAAGGTATTTGAAAGGAACAAATTACTGGTTTTGTAGAATTCTATCATATGTTCTCCAGCATCATTTCTATTACCAAAGCCGTATTTTCCAACTACTGACTGATCCTTCCTCTTTGCTCCCAACCTTTGCATTCCAGTCACCAGTAATGAGCAATACATCTTGATTGCATGTTTGATGAATTTCAGATTGAGGAAGTTAGTAGAATTCTATTTCATCATCACTGGCTTTAGTGGTTGGTGCTTAAAGTTGAATAATAGTGGTATATAAGTGGGCTTCCCTGTAGGCGCATGGATATTATCCTATTGCAGACAGCGTTGTACCTCATGACTGATCTGGATATGTTCTTTTTGATGATGAATGGAACACCATTCCTCTTCAATTTGTCATTTCCGGCATAGTAAACTATGTGGTCATCAGATTCAAAATTGCCATTACCAGTCCATTTCAGTTCACTAATGCCTAAGCTATCAATGTTTGTGCATTCCATTTCATTTTTGACAACTTCCAATTTTCCCAGGTTCATACTTCGTACATTCCATGTTCCGATTTTCAGTGGATGTTTACAGCTGTTCTCTTCATTTTGAGTTGCACCCCATCAGCAAATGAATGTCCCACGGGCTTTTCTCCCATGGGCTTTACTCCATTCGTGTCATCACAGTCAACTCTACTTTGAGGAGGTATCTCTTCCCCAGTCATATTTTGAGTGCCTTCCAACCTGAGGGGCTCATTTTCCGGCACTATATCTGACAGTGTTTCTCTGCTATTCATAAGGTTTTCAGTGACTAAATATTTGGAAGTAGTTCGTCACTCCTTCTTCCTAGTCTGTCTTCATGTGGAAGCTCATCTGAAACCTGTCCACCATGGGTGACCCTGCTGGTATTTAAAATACTGGTGGCATAGCTTTCAGAATCACAGCAACTCACACGCCACCACGGCACAACAAACTGACAGACGAGTGGTGGATGGATTTCTTTTAGTACCTTTTAAATGGCCATAATACTAGTTATTAAAATTAAAATCTAGAAATTGTGACATTCTCATTCTGGAGTACTGTGTATCTCTGCCACCTTTAAGCTTATCCATAACCTGAGTTTTCAGGAATGCATTATTTTGAATATCAGCACATGATAAAAACCAATTTATATGAACATCTGTAAACTGCTTAAAACATTAATATTTGAAATTTACATTTTGTTTTTGTAACCAAAATTAGGGTTGATTCTAAATGAAATGATATAAAAATTGATGTGAAAACTTGTTCAAGACAAAAACAGTTAAATCTTGCGATAAAAAAGGTTGTATTAAAGATTAGAGATGAGTTGCACCTTAATGTAAAGAAAACAAAAATCCTCACAACTGGACTAATAAATAGCATCATGATAAATGGCAAGAAGATTGACGTTTGCTTGGTTTCACCATCTACACTCATAGAAGAAGCCGTCAAGAAACCAAACTACATATCGCACTAGGCAAATCTACTATACAAGACCACTTTAAAACATTCAAGAGCAAAGATGTCAGTTGGAGAAGTAAGGTGCACCTAACCCAAGCCGTGGTATTTCCAATAGCCTCAAGTGCATGTGAAAGTTGAACTGTGAATAAGGAAGACCATGGAAGAATTGATGCATTTGATTTATGATGTTGGAGAAGAATATTCAAGGTACCATGGACCGCCAAAAAAAAAACAGGTCTGTGCTTGAAGTACAACCAGAATGTTCCTTAAAAGCCAAATGACCAGACTTCATCTCTCATACTTAGGACATGTTATCAGGAGGGACCAGTCCCAGCAGAGGGACATCGACACAGTTGTAGCAGTAGTGGGCTCAAATTTCACAATTGTGAGATGATCAGGACCAGGCAGTGTTTTGTTCTGTTGTTGGAACTGACTGAACGGCACCTAATAACAGTAAATATTAGAAATATTTACTAAAGATAATAAACTATCTGCTTCTTTGTAGGTATAATGGACAATGGGACCTTGGCCAGGAAGTCCTTGATGATATCATTTACAGAGCTCAGCTAGAACTTTTTTCTCAACCATTATTGGTGAGTTATATTTACTCTTTATTTACTAAAAATCAGTATTTGAAAAAGGCACTTCTGAAAAAAATAGCTTAATATGCAACATATGTTTTCTGGTACCATCGAGTTAGGTGTAACTCATAGCAACCGTCTGAACAACAGAATGATACACCGCCAGTCCTGTGCAATCCTCAATGATCATTGCTATGTTGCAACCACTGTGCCAGTCCATCTCATTAAGGGTCTTCCTCTTTTTGCTAACCTTGTACTTTACCAAGAATGATATCTTTCTCTAGAGTCTGGTCCCTCTTTATAACATGTTCAGAGTATAAGTCTCACCATCCTTGTGTCTAAGGAGCATTCTGGCTGTACTTATTCCAAAACAAATTTAATTTGTTAATTCCTCTGGTTGTTATTGTTGTTAAGTGCCATCGAGTTGGTTCTGACCCATAGCGACCCTGTATAGGGTTTCCAAGGAGCAGCTGGTGAGCTTGAACCACCAACCAGCCTTACAGTTCAAATGACTTTGCAGTCTGACACATTAGCCACCAGCAATTCTTTGCCAACACCATAATGTAATATATGAGGCAATCCAAAGCAATGGAGGAAAAAGGTGTATTCTATAATAACAGTTGATTAATTGTTTGAGGTGAAAGCAAAATTGATTTAGAGCCTCTCTACCTACCTCAATATGTAATAATTTTATAATGATACATACCAAAATAAAAGATCAGATAAATTAAAGAAGTTTAAGTAAAAGTCCTCTTCACTTTCAGCAATTAAGGTTGTATCATCTGCATATCACAGGTTGTTAATGAGTCTTCCTCCAATCCTGATGCCACGTTTTTCTTCATATAACCCAGCTTCTCGGATTATTTGCTCAGGATACAGGTTGAGTAAGTATTTATTCAACCTTAATAACTCAGTAACTCAACTTAAAATATTTACTGATGAAGATCAAAGACCACAGCCTTCGCTATTGATTACATATCAATGTAAAGAAAACAAAAATCCTCACCATTGGACCAATAAACAGCATTCTTATCAATGGAGAAAAGATTGAAGTAGTCAAGGACTTCATTCTTCTTGGATCAACTATCAACACTCACGGATGCAGCAGTCAAGAGATCAAATAATGTATTGCATTAGGCATATCTGCTGCACAAGACCTTTTTAAAGTGTTGAAAGGCAAGATGTCAACTTGAGGATTAAGGTGTGCGTGACCCAAGACATGGTAGTTTCATTGGCCTCATATGCATGCAAAAGTTGGACGATAAATAAGGAAGACTGTAGAAGAATTGATGCTTTTGAGTTATGGTGTTGGAGGAGAATATTGAAAGTGCCATGGGCTGCCCATAGAACTAACATATCTGTGTTGGAAGAAGTGCAGCCAGAGTGCTCCTTGGAGGCCAGGATTGCCAAACTTTGTCTCTCATACTCTGGACATATTGTCAGGAGGGAGCAGTCGCTGGAGAAGGATATCATGTTTGGTAAGGTGGAGGGTCAGAGAAAAGGAGGAAGACCCCCAACGAGACTGAGTGACAAAGTGGCAGCATCAGTAGGCTCAAGCGTGGCAACAATACTGAGGTTGGGCCAGGACTGGGCAGTGTTTCATTCTGCTGTCATAAGATCGCTATGAGTCGGCACCGACTCGATGGCACCTAACAACAACAAAGTAAAAGTCAGAAAAGTTTTAAAATATTGATTCAAATTTTATTGATTCAAATCTCCTAGAGAAGGGAGGGCCTTATAAGCTTAAGAGATTAGAAAAGTCACAAAAAAGACCAATCTTAGACCACATAGACATCTAAATTCTAAACCATTAGCTGTTTAAAAACAAAATTAATTGTGAAGTAACTGTAGGATCACCACTGGACTGCTAACCACAAGGTCAGCAGTTCAAACCCACCAGGCGCTCCTCAGAAACCCTATACAGGTTCGCTATGAGTCACAGCTGACTCAACGGCACTTAACAACAACAGCAATACAAACAGAAAACTATTCTATGCAGGCATGACCAAAAAACCCAATTAATATTTGTGCCATATAAATAGATATCATACTCTTTCCACCTAACCTGCTTACCAATAAAAGTAAATCCGCAAAAGGTAAATGATCAATTTTTTTTTTAAAGTAAATATCAAATAGTGGAGTAAGGAAGGCAAAGGAAAGCATTCTTTATGTTACTGATGACAATATAATAACACAACTCAACATCCCTTTGCCAAAGCCATGTGATGATGTGTTTATTTTATGATCCACCATCCCATGACAGGAGTCCTGGTATGGAACTGTAGGATAAACTCTTGACTGCTAACTACAATATCAACAGTTCAAACCCATTAACTGCTTCTCAGAAAAATTAACATGTAAGTACTGAAATAAGAAAACAATGTGTTTCTGACTTTGCAGATGATAAATAATGTGCGAAGTTTAATTCTGATAAATGATACCTTTTCTTTGTTCCTCTATAAAGAAAATTTCTCTCAGTACGCCTGGAATTTGTCCCACCATTATCATCTGCAAAGTTAGAAACACATTGTTTTCTTATTTCAGTGTTCACATGTTAATTTTTTTAAAACAAATCATTTCAAAAACCAAACCAAAGAAACACAGAACGGAGATACGAGGAGGCTTCAAAGAGTTTGTGGAGAAGTTCCAGTATCGTTTCATTATATTTTGGTTTTTTGGAATGCTGTTTTTACTCTTTGAAAGTCAACAATTTTAAGGAATCAGTAGGGTATCTGAGTAAAGTTTTTAAAAAATAAATCATTTCTAAAACCAGACCAAAAATTACAGAATGAAGATACAAAGAGGCTTCAAAGAGTTCATGGAGAAATTCCATGATCTTTTCATTATATTTTTCTACAGATTTTGGGAAACTCCTTTGTAAAAGCACTTCTGATACATTGTACTTTTAAAGAACACGTTTTAAAAACATATTCAAGAGTTATGGAGGCTCAGAAGGTGGAGAAATTAGCTCTTCTGAGTCAGCTGGCTTAATAATAATTATGGAAGTATAGAATAAGCATGGAGTCCTGGTGTGGCACTGTAGGATACGCACTGCATTGCTAAGGTCGGTGGTCCAACCCACCAACTGCTCCTCAGAAACCCTGCACAGGATCTCTGAGAGTCAGAACTGAGTTGGCAGTACTTAAGAACAGCAGGATAATGATAGTATATGTTGATTGTAAATCTATGTAGCCGTATATCATCATTTTAGGTTGCCAATGCCATGAAAAACTCATTACCATTTGATGCTCCTGATTCTTCACAAGAAGGCCAGAAAGTACTTAAAGTAGAAGTCACTCCAACAGTGCCGAGGATTTCTCGTACTGCAATTACAACAGCTTCAATTCGTCGTCATCGGTGGAGGAGAGAAGGTACATGCAAAATCTCCGTAGTCCATTCATGTATTTCAGTAAATTTATGAAATGTTTTTACAGGCTATCTTAACCACAACCCATACAATTAAACTAAATCTCTTTTAAAGTTTTTAAAATAGCACTAGAAATGTGTAAATGCTTAAGTCTAAATATATGTGTTTCAGATCCTCTCTGAATGCTAAAACAGAAATAAAATTAGGCTAATTTTTGTCTTTTCTTAAATGAGTAATAGCACTAAGGAAAAAAATCTCTTTAATCTTGGTCATATACTGAAAAAAAGGTGCATGTATGGGCATTGTGGGAGAGAAACTATAACTGGCCAAACTAATGGTTAATTGTAAGATATCTCTAACAAAATTGATTCTTGTATTTAGATTTTTATCTTTGTTTTTTGTGTTGTTGTTTTTTTCTTTTGGTAAATGCTGAATCCAGCAGTATTTCATAGGCATATGGTACTTGAATTGTCAAGCTGTCTAGCCTAAGAGATATTGTTATTTTAATGATCCCTGTCCTATCCATTTGCAAATCTCACATTGTTCATCTGCTGCCTTATGTGTGTGCATGCTGTGCACACACATGTAACTATATAAATAGTTTGTGTTTATATCATATCCATATATTCATTCTCTTATCTACCTGGGTCAAAATGCTCAGAAAAGACTAGAGCAGCACAAAAGCACTAAAATTTTATATGTTGAATCCCAGATGGCTTTGACTTCTCAAACGAGGCTGACTCGAGTATTCCTGGCTCCCCGATCCAACACGGCTCCACTGACCTAGGGATCAAACGTGTGCAAGAGGGGGAGGTGCTGGTGCGCAGGAGCCCTGAGCATGGCTCGCCGGAGCCCAACTCAGCAGCAGCCACAACAGAGGGTAGGACAGAGATGAGGAAGCAGAAGTCAGTGAGGCAGTTGCTGGAGAAGGATCCTGGCTCTCTGTCCCCAAGCAGAACATCTTTCCATTCTAGTGTGTGTGTCCACTATCCTGGGGTGTATTAACTCCTCCTTGCAAAGCACACCTTCCCTATTTGCCTTGTCCCAGGTCAGGTATAATCTTTAGTTACCACTTGTGCTGGCCTGGAGTCTGCATCACTGTGTGATCAAAGAACAGCTTGGCATGGCTACTAACAAAGCAGGGGCCTGTCTCCAAAAGGTCTGCAAAAGCTTGGAATTTTTTCATTACTGAGCATGTTTATTCTAATATTAGGGAAAGAAAAACTGCATCCAGTGGGCATGAGCCTTATTAATCAATGTGAACTGATTTTATTTACACAATAATCCTGTAGTATACCATGAAGAGAGTTTTTTAATGTTAATATGCTCTTTAAGAAGTTAAATTGAATTGGAGCCAATCAGTGTTTGTCTAGTCCCAGGTGGTCAATTCACAAGAATTTCATTTTCCTGTGATAAGAGTATATTGGAATTTTCATGGATCAAGTAATGGATCAAGGTAACTTGGTCTCAGAGAATTATTGATTCCATAAATGTGCTAGCCTGGCACACACTATGCAAATTATGGATATATTTCATAGTTCCCAAACAGAATTGAAATTTCTTAGACGCCAGATACCCAACTAGGTCTTTGAGAAGCAAAGCAGAAAACAGTGTGAGTATCTCAAAATGAGAATTTGCTTTAGTTTTTCCCCCACCATTTGTAAAAGAATACTCTGGTAGGAACATATTTTTGTGCTGTTTTGCATACAATCCCATAGGAGTTGACTTTATGAGAGAAAGCAATAGTTACCAAATCAGTTTTTTTTCATTATTTAATGTCTTCTGTATTTCATTAAATAATATACATTGTGTATTGTAATCCTATTGTGGAACCTTTATACTTATTTATAAAGTACAACATGTATTTTTTAAAAGGTTGCATATTTTCACATATTTTAAAAACAAAACATACATGAAGTTGTTACTCCCACCTTAGGGGGAGGTCTCTTGATCTTTTGGTGCATTCAGAATTTGAGCATGCTCAGTAAGAATCTCAATCTGCCCTCTGTTCTCTTGCCCTTTTGTCCAGATTGACCGTACTTCAGTTAACAGTGTTGCATGTGCATGACCTAGGGTCCCAAAGAAGTCAGTGCTGCTTTGCAGAGAGCATTCTTTAAATGGCTGTGGAAGATGCCGCAAAAACCTCTTTTGGTTTTTCATGAGCTCTTTATATTACCCCTGGGGTCAGTTTTATCTTGCCTAATCACATTTAAAAATGGGTATATGAGTATATGTTAAACCCAGAGTTGGCCTAACTTTAACAACCGTCTATTTCTCAACATTCTTGCTGACTGAATGAGCCAATGAAGTGTGTCTGCTACCAATGTAATAGTGTTGGAGTATTATTGCTAACTGGCAGTTGATGAACGAGAAAGCATGGAGTTAGGATTGTGTGTTTCAAAAGTCATACACTTGGAAAAAGGAGCCAAAATAGTAGTTAATGTTAATATCTCGTAATAATGGAGTCCTGGTGTGGCGCTGTGAGATAATATACTGGAAACCTATGCGGGGTTGCTATGAGTCAGAACCAACTCGATGGCAGTTAACAACAACAACATTGATGATAATGAGATTTCAGTTGGCGTAGGGTACAGGTATAAGTAAGGAAAGATGATAAATTCCTTGAGTATGTTTAAATTAACAATATATTTTTTTTTTACCTTCTAAATAAAAGCTCTGGTAGCGTAGTGGTTACGAATCGGGCTGCGAACCTCAAGATCAGCAGTTCGAAACTACCAGCTGTTCCGTGGGAAAAAGATGAGGCTTTCTGCTCCCTTAAAGATTAACAGCCTTGGAAACCCTGTACAGGGTCCCTATGAGTCGAAACTGACTCCACTGCACATAACAACAACAACAATCTAAATAAGGAGTCCTGGTGTGATGCTGTGGGTTAGTGCACTGGACTACAATATTGGTTTGAACTGTAAAGTTGACAGTTCAAGCTCACCGGCTGCTCCTCGGAAACCCTATACAGAGTTGCTATGGGTTGGAATCAATTCAGCAGCACTCCACAACACAACAGTCTAAATAAGGAGTCCTGGTGTGGCACTCTGAGTTAATGTGCTGGACTGCAAAGTCAGTTTGAATCTCAATGTCAGCAGTTTAAGCGCACCTTAGAAACCTTACATAGGATCCCTATGGGTGGGAACAACTAGATGACACTTAACAACAACAAATCTAAATAAATTAGCTTTAATAGAAGCTAAATTTTAAAGAAAGGCTGCATGAGTAGAAAAGTTCCTTACAGAATCCTTTTTCGCTATCTTATCACCGGGTCATGGTTGGTATTGTTATCACACAGAAAATTAAGAAGGAAAAAAATTGTGAGATACAATTAGTTGCCTTTTTATTCCTTGAGGTTTGTTAAACAGAAGAAAGAAACAAAAATCAATGAAAAATTTGGGTAATTCTGAAATCAGCTGTTGCTTTTGGATTAGCATCAATAATGTACCTTTTCTTTTATAAGGAAACTAATTTTCTAGTACAATTATCTTAAGTGCTTTTTAAATTAACCTTTTTGTGACCTGTGGTATATAGTGTCCATCTACATTTACCTCCTCTGGGCTTTAGGGGAATCTTCTATCTTACTTTTAGTGCATGCTGCCATCTGGTGGAGATCTGTATAACTATGTGACTGAAGAAACTGGCCTCATTCCATTGACCCCAATACCAGAGACCTCTTGGGAATTATGTGTCCCACAATTAAGGACTTCTGGTGTGGTACTGTGGATCATCACTGGACTGTGAACCACAAGACTGGCAGTTCAAATCCACCAGCTGCTGCTTATAGACCCTATACAGGGTCGCTATGAGTTGCAACTGATTGATGGCACTTAACCACAATTTTATTAAAATTCATATTTCCTGCAAAAACTTTTTTTTCCCATTTCATTCCAAAAGCTTCCTTACATTACTGAAAACACATGAGTTCATCAAAAAGTTCTAAACAGAAAATACTTCAGTCTTGTCAGAATTTACTTGCTTTATGTTGAGAGTGAAGGGAGGATATAACTTTGTCACCTGCCTTTCTCCTGAGTGTCAAGTGACATTCTATTTGACTTTTAAAGCTGAAATTAAAATTATTAAACTGAGGACACTGCCTTTGGTTAAAGTACAGTCAGTGTTCCACTGGAGTCCTGGTGTGGCGTTGGAGCATAAGCACTGGACCGCAAGGTCGGCAGTTCAAACTCACCAGCTGCTCCTCAGAAACCATATATAGGGTCGCTATGAGTCAGAACCGACTCAACAGCACTTAACAACAGCAACAGGTATTCCACTGCTTGGAAAATGAAAAAACATTTCTTAGTACATATAATATCAGAAGATTCTCTTGCATGGTGACTTTTATGTTATCACTTTTATGGCCAGATTGCTTGGGCATCAGATCTGCATGTAGCAGGATTCAGAAGCTAGCACTAAGTCTCTCAGTCTCCACTCCTGACAGATACCAAATGGTCATTTCTTTTCAGTCCCACATTTATATTTCTAATTCTAATTCAGAACCCGTAACTACTTTTTTCTGGGTATTTTGGAGTTCTTTATACCAATTGTAAGTAAATTATTAATATGATATTGTCTGAGTGTAGTTTAAAGTTTTGATTTTGAGGTACATTATGTACTCTTCTTTTGAAGGAATGGGTTGAGAGAAATGGTGTCAGCTGCTACTGTTCTTAGTAGACGCATTTTCATGTGGCTTTGCATGACAATTAAAGACTATTAAACTGCTGGATATAATAAAAAAGATGCTTTTTGCTTTAAGGATATTTTGGAAGGAAGGAAATAACTAACCCATATGAGAAAATAGAACTAGGAAAATACTATAATTTTTCCAGGGACTATGTTAAATAAAATATTATGTTTAAGCATTTTATAAATATGTTGTTTCGATAACATATATCTTTGTTTAGAATTGTGTTTCCTAAAAGATTCAGGTTCAACTTTCTTGCAGTATGGGAAGTGAACTTAATGATGTAGCAAACAAATATCTGTTTTTGAAAGAAGCAAATGTATTCCTTTCCTAGGGAATGTTGATCATACTCTCAGTAAGAAAATTGAATTTTCAGAAAATCCCAAAGACAATATATATATATTTATTCAAGTTGAAGTATGATAGCAATACATTATATGGGAATTAAAAATTCTTGTTTAATATCCTTGCTGGTTTCCTCACCCTGCTCCCTAGTAGTCAGGCAAATATTTTCTTCACATTTAATATATCAAGCAAATATGGAGAACAGTGAGTTATGTGAGTGAGTTAGATATGCCTATAAGATAAAATATGATTATGATGTTACTGGAGCACTGTAGAGTTTTCAGTCTTGACTTAGATTTACTAGTTCCATGTTAAAGCTTCTAAAGTGACATAGAAGCAGTTAACTTTTGAGTAAAAAATTTTATTGTAGTTGATCAGTTTGTCCTGTAGAGATAAGTGAGTTTTTGTTGTTCTGAATAACTAAAATTAGGAGGGGCTTTTTCTTTTGCATGGTCTATCTTAAAGTGGTTCAGAAAGATTTGAGGACTTTTTTTTTTTTTTTTAATAAATAGATAATTGTAACTTCACATTGTCAAAATATTATTGTTAAAGGTTTACAGTAAAAGAACGTTGTATTTTACCTAAGGTTATTTTATATGCCAAAATTTGGATAGTATTCTTAAATTGCAGACAGTTTTACAAAAGCTAGGTTAATTAAACTAAATAAGCAGGATAAATATCATATTAGAATTCTGTATAGATTGTTTATTTCCCTATAGCAAACATTACCCAAGAGATAAGGCCAGGCTTGTTAATCACAGCTGCTTCCTGTTTAATGAGCTATTGCTGAGTCTCTCTGATTTATTTCTAGGTGCAGAGGGTGTAAATGGTGGCGACGAATCTGTAAACCTGAATGATGCAGATGAAGGATTTTCATCAGGGGTTTCCCTCAGCAGTCAGCCAGTTGGGACCAAACCATCCTCCTCCTCTCAGAGAGGAAGCTTAAGGAAAGTAGCAACTGGACGTTCGGCCAAGGATAAAGAAACAACCTCTGCAATCAAACCCAATGAAAGTCCTCGAGATTCAGTAGTTCGCAAGCAGTATGTACAGCAACCAGCTGATCTTAGCGTAGATTCAATTGAGCTGACACCGATGAAGAAACACCTGAGCCTGCCTGCTGGCCAGGTGGTGCCAAAAACCAATAGTTTAAGTCTAATCCGGACAGCCAGTGCTTCCTCAAGTAAATCTTTTGACTATGTAAATGGCAGCCAAGCAAGTACCAGCATCGGGGTTGGCACTGAGGGAGTTACTAATTTAGTCGGTAACAATGCTAATCGTTATTCAACTATCAGTCTGCAGGAAGACCGGCTAGGTCAAGCTGGAGAAGGTAAAGATCTCCTCAGCCCAGGAGCCCCCTTAACCAAGCAGTCCCGATCCCCAAGTTTCAATATGCAGCTAATATCCCAGGTGTAGCTTTGACATCCTCTCTCCTCTTTCTGCTTACCTTTTAAACTGAACATTTCATTGTGCAAGAAGACACTTCATCCCACATTGTGAAACTATTGGTCATTGTAATCAGATTTGATTTAGTGTAGGTATCCTCATACTGTATTTTATATGGAAACAGCAATAAGGTTTTCTTTTTTCTCCTCTCTCTCTCTTCCACCTCTTCCTTGTAAATGTGTTTGTGAAGCAGTGTAAAATGTATGCCTTTCCCTTGCCTTTCTTTCTCCTTGGGTGACGTGCAATCCATCGTAGGCTGATCAGTCCCATTTCAACACTGTGAGACTGAGGATATATTAGAGGAAATGGTGTATATGATCCCTATGAAATGATTCTTTGGCTTTGTTTTTAAAAAAAAACAACAAAAAAAAAAACGGGTTTGTTCTCATAATCTATAGAGCTATGAAGATTACTGGATCATATGTTTTTCTCTCTTAACCAGGAGTGCCTCAGAGTTTCTGCTATGACTTTGGACTTCTCTGAGTCTGTGCAATTGTTTTCTTGAGAACACGGGGAAAGGTGGCCAAATGCTGTATTTTTCATTAAAATGAGGGTAGCTTTTTATTTTCCCCATCTCTTTTCCCTCATTTCCTTTATCCTGAGGACCTAAATGTTCAATCCTGAGGCATTCAAATCAAGTTGTGGCCTCCTCTGTTTGAGAGGGGGTGCTAAGCTGATTCTGTAGTTGATAATGCACTTTCAATGGCTTTATAGTCATAATGAACATGTCTTCCCTCCTCCCCATAAGGACATAGGGTCGTTTCTGTTCTTAAAGTTTGAACAACTAATAAATCAGAGCATCCAAGGGGCATGTTCTATTTCCCAGGAATGATTGACACTTTGGTGCTGGGGTTTTGTGGGGGGAGGGGTGGTTTTTGTTTAGCTTGTGTGGGACTGTGTGTGTGTAGAGGATATTTTGCTTGGTTTCTTTGTTGTTTGTTTTCCTTTGTGAGTTGATGATGACTGAAGTAGAACAAGTACATCTTCAGGTAAAGAGAGGGATTTCTCAATCCACTTTCTGTGATGTCAGACTATTGGAGAAACCCTTTCAGCTGCTTTCTAGATGTACCTTAATTCAGTCAGATTTTGGATTAAGAAACCTGAAGTCCTGATAGAACATATATATATACTCCAAGGAAATACATCAGGGACAGATAATTGGCTGAAAACACTGACGCTTCAATGTTGACACATTTTTATAGAACATTTCTACCAGGGAGTACTGACTTGATTTCTCCTACAAGGACCACACTGCCTTTGTGTTTAATGTAATGCAATTTGTGTACCTTCTAATCATGTATACCTGCAGAAGTTCCTCATTTTTATAAAAATTTGAAATCATGCCAATAAGCTAGTTGTTGAATGTATGTATGTAAGTAGCATTTGGTAATAGTGCTAAGAGGCTACAAAAATACATTATTGGTTAAAAAGAACTTTTTTTTTTTAGTTCTGATTTGGTAGGATATGTAACCTCTTCTGGATCTCAGGCTCTACTGCTTGAAACAGAAGGGAATCTACTGGGGGTTTGGAAATCGCTGAATTGTGAGTTGAGGTGTCTTAAGTTATCCTTCCATGAAACACATCAGAGCTTTTAGTGCTTTGTACATATAGGCATTTTTACTTTATTATTGTGAAAAATTGTGTACTGAATTTATAGAAATCAAGTATTCTCCTAATTTGAAGTCAAAAATTTTAACTTTACCAATTAAAATTGCAATAGATTTTGATTAATAAAACAATGATAAAAATGCTTTCCCCCACACACACACCTAAAAATCCCCCCCCCTTTTTTTTTTTTTTTTTTTAAATTGGTTGCAGGAGCAGTTTTAAAGGTTTTAAAGGGACTTTGTGTTAGAATCTTTATATGAACAATGATAATCTTGTTTGAATTTGGTGATCTGTAACATTTTTCAGCTCATATGGAAACAAAACTAGAACCTGAACTAGTATCTATAACATTGCCAAAGTCTGTAGTAAAGCTGAAAGGTGATAGATGATTTATTGATGTGTGTATGTGTGTGTGTATGTGTACATATAGGTGTATATATCACAAAAATATTTTTTAGCTGTCCCCTTTCTTAGTTTGACTGAGGGATATCCGATAAAATGATTTTAAAAACAGCCAAACTAAATGACATGTAAAGGTCTCTGACATACTAAAGAAAAGTTTCAGGTGTAAAAAAAAAAAAAAAAAAGAGCATAGTATTTTAACAGGGATTAAAATGTGGACCATGGCTGGATTAGGGGATAACCACCTGATTTACGTATAAGGATTGGTTTAAATTCAACAAATTATGCATTTACAGGCATCTAAATCTAGCATAATTCTAGTTAAAGCACACATACACACAAAGTCAAATAATAACAAAGTTGTAATAAATATAATAAAACAAAACTTCCCCTTGGTTTTTGTTAGAAATTGTATGTTATAGCTGTAAAATTGTTTTTGAAAACATTTCCACTTAGAGGATTTCACTAATCAGTATGCATACGCAGGTATTTTGTATATATACATACCTATTAATGTTTTATGACCCTACATTTGTGTTCCATTTTTTAAGGGAATGTGATTTAGGACCAATGAGAAATATCTTATTTAAAAGTTTGCATTCAGATTCTTAGAACAGATTTCCTGTGCAAGACATGGTTAAAACGCGATAGGAACAAGCCAAGCCTTTTGATACGCATTTGAATTCTTTAAAGGCATTTATTTTAAAATAGTTTGTTTGAGATATACAACAGTGTTGTTACAAAGATTGACCTGCAATATTTGTGCTTTATTCTCTAGTAACCTTTTATTTTATACTTTATAATTTCCATTTTTTAAAAGTCCAGCTGTCTATGAAAGAGCTATCTAGTAATGAAATACTTGTTTTCTGTAATAAAACAATTGAAACCATCTATGCCAGGTTGGATTCAGAGAAAGAAATATCTGAAATCTTTAGGAACTCTTCTCTATGGCATCATAATTTAAAATTATATTACTAGAAAGCAAATTAAAACATAAAGTGAAAAGTTGAGCATAAATAAAATTTGTAAATATGAAAATAATTTAAAGAAGCTTGGAAGGAAAAAATGGTTGTAATTTTAAATTCTGATCTCTACATCACCCTGACCCTCCCAGTTCACTCTGCTGTGCCTGCTTAAGGAGCTCTGGTAGCATAGTGGTTATGAGTTGGGCTGTTAACCTCAAAGTCAGTAGTTCAAAACTACCAGCTGTTCTGCAGGAGAAAGATGAGGTGTGCTGCTCCTGTAAAGATTTACAGCCTCAAAAACCCTATCTATGCAGGCTCACTATGAGTCGGAACCGACTTCACAGCACACCACCAATATAGAATCAGAATTTTTGTGCTGGAACAGACTCCAGAGATAATCTAGCTAATCTTCCAACTGTCAGCCCTCTATCTATCCTCAGGAAACTGAGACTCAAAAGGATTGTGACATGATCAAAGTCACATAACTCAGAAGCAGAGCCAGAATCAAACCCTGTTTCCTGTCTAGTGCACATTCATACTCCTCTGCCTCCCTTTACGTGTACTACAATAAATGGTACATGACAGCCTGCATGCATTTCTGCAGCTCATTCAGTTCTAATCTGGTAGTTGGTGAATACAGCACATTACATATTACATCCAGAAAAAATACATAGTAATAAAAATAGACCCGGAAGTGTTAGAAATGTAGGAATCTGTACAGATGTTAGGATTGATTGTTCTTTATTCTAATTTATGCTTTACTATTTTCTGCTGGTAACATAGTGGTTACGAATTGGGCTGCAAACTACAAGGTCAGCAGTTCCAAACTACCAGCTGTTTCGCGGGAGAAAGATGAGGAGTTCTGCTCCCGTAAAAATTTACAACTGCGGAAACCCTGTACAGGGTCGCTATGAGTTGGAACCAATTCCATGGCACATAACAATTTTCTGCCACATAACATTTATATATTGCCATCTTACAGTTGGCTACATTTCTAGGAATTTCTTTAAATGCAGAATTAAACCAATGAAATGACTTTGGTCAGTGTTCCTAGCTATTTTAAAGTAGTTTTTAATCAGCCGGCTTTCACAGACACCAGGGTAGCAAGTTCATTTTATTGCACGGTGGAATACTCCATTGTTGTGAACATTAAATACATTTTATTCCATTAATTTCTAATGTAAGAAGAGATGGAATCTTGTGCTTAGAGCAGATACAAGCATTATTTCTTTAGATGGTAGAAAAAGCCTGATATTATGAAGCGTATGATTCCGTACAGAACAGTAACCATGATGTCATTGAAAGTGTACCAAGGGGGCTTCAAAAAGTATGTAGAATAATACAATTAAAACATAATGGAATTCTTCTATGAACATTTTGAAATCTCCTTGTACCATATAAACTGTCTTAAATGCAGTAGTCTCAGCTATATAAGCTCAATGTTTCCAACCTGTATTCTCAAATTCCACTTAGTAGTCTTAAATTAATGTTAATTATTTATTAGATTCTGGAATACTGAGAATAACTTCTTTTAGATTTTTTGGTTGCACTATTTTTGCAAATATTCAATGAAGGGTTTGTTTTGTTTTTCCTGCCTCATTTTGTGAGGCTGTATGGGTCCATTTTTAGTTGTTGTTAGTACTTTAATTGTTGATTATCGGATGCCTCATTTAATTCTGTACATGTCCAGTTGTAAATAGAAAAAAATAGTATCTGTCTTTAGGGGCAGTACCTCTTTATACCAACACTGGCAAGGAGATCTCTCCATTTATGATCTTGAATTACACAAAAATGTTTTTTGTTTTGTTTTAAAAATCAGTATTTCAGTTTAAAACTTGTTCTTCGATTTAGAAAAAGTTTAATAGGCCATGCTAGTGGTCAGGTCATCAGTAAGAGTTTAGGGCAGTTTTTCTATACCATGGCTATATTAAATAAAGAGTTCTGGACCTGAGACTTTTTATCTTTCAATTTAAATGATTACTGTCATGTTTCAAACTAGTAAGCTGTTTGAGACACTTATTTGTAATACTTTTTTTTTTTAAGGATTTCTAGAAACAAGTTGTTTGAAAATCAACTAGAAATTATTGGTAGCTTGAACTCTGAAGAATTAGAATATTCATCAGATTATAGAAAGATAGAATGCAGTGCTAATAAGATCATAATGAGTCACCAGATGGTACAATTTTCCATTGCCAAGAATGTCACTTTGCTAATGTAAGACATACATTTTAGTATTACCTATACTGTGTGTACCTAGTGGGTCTATCGGCGCTGACCTATTCACAGAATCAGTCATTGTGCACTTAAACCTTGTTAGATTTTTGGCCAGAAATTATTGTGGTTACTCTAAGCCATTAGAATTAGAGGAGCTTCTCCACTCAGCATTCCCTTCCCCATGTCGAAATGTTCCTTCTAAACCTAACCACACACCGTCAAATGTTGGCAACTTCAGTCTCTTCAGTATTTTTGGTTTAAAGTGGTCTTAGCCCTTAGTCATATGAAAAATATACACAAAAGGAAACAGTTCAAGACACAGTGTTGGTAGAAAGCTGAGAATGATGTAAAATAATTGTCAGCATAGTACAGAAATGTAGAGTCTCTGTTTTGTTTCTAAATTTTGAGGAAATGTTTCCATGATGTTTACAAATTAAGGCATATTCAGATGTCTGCTGTTATGTTTAATATAGAATGTAACCAAAAAAACTAGAATTAGGTATAGATTAAAGTATGAGCCTTTAACTGTATACCTGGAGGTCAGTCTAATAAAGAAATCCTTTTATTTCAAAGAGAAATAAACTTAATTGGTCAATCTAACTCCAACCACAGAATTCCTATCAATCTAATTTGCTGTGTTTCAATATCAATATCAAAGGAAATTCTTTACATCTTCATTGATTACAAAATTTACCAAAGAAAATGTATTGACCAAATATAATTTGTAATATACCTAACTATTAAGGATTGAAGCCCTTTTAATATAAAAGATGGCTTTCTGAGAGGAAATAAATATTACAAGATCCTTTTACTTAGAAATTAGCTCCAAGATTCCATTTGAAAATTTATGATGTAGTAAAATGTCAACATCTTACTTATACTTCCAGCAACGTACCAATTAAAAATTAAGTCTAAATAATAAACATTTTCATGTTCCTTACTCAAATTAAGGATTCTGCTTTTGAGTATTGAGTAAAAAAGGGGGCAAATTTCTAAAATTGGTATATTGGGACTTTAAAAATAAAAAAGGTAGAGGGGAAATTATGGAAATGTACCTCTTCAGATGGGCAAATTTAAATATTTCTAGTAAGTCTAGTATTGGTTCAGATGGTATGGTCTTTTACAGCATTTATGTGTAGGACCACTCATTTTCTTTGTTTTTGTTTTTTGTTTTTTTTTTTGCAGAAAAACAATTGGGTTAAGAAAAGTGAAAGTACTAGTTTTATAATGTAAAAACCAACAAGAAATTAAGGTTTTATTTAATCTTAAGTGATAACTTTTTTGAAAACATGAAATACAACTGTGTACTGTTCCAAACAGGTTCTCTGTAGTATATTTCCATATCAAGTGGTAATTAAAAGTAATGAATGTACTGAGCAGACTATCTTGAAAGAATATTTTCTGATAATTACTAATGTAGTTTTTTTGTTTTTTTTAAGTTTTATTATGCAGACTAAATTAAGAGATATGTTTCATGTGGTGTTTTTTAAACAACTGTAATAAGTTCATTAGCTAATTTACAGTGAATCTTTTTGATTCTTACTC